CTCCTGGTTCCTAGGTCGACGCTTACCACTGAGCCGCACCGGCCGGGCTATGAGTCCCTTCATTTTGGCCTCCTGTGCTCAGATGTCAGCCTTGCCTCCCCCTGGGGATGGAGCCCACAACCCGGGCATGTGCCCTGACCGGGAATCGAACCTGGGACCCTTCAGTTCACAGGCCTAAGCTCTACCTGCTGAGCCACACCAGCCTGGGCCCGAGGGTCCATCTTAATGCATTTGAGTGTCAGGACAGTCTCACCCATGTCAAGGCCGTGAGCGAGCCGCAGGGGAGCTGGGCCTGCTGCCCGCGGCCGGGTCTGTCCCGCTGGGTCCGGTAAGTCCGCCTCGAGCCTTGCAGGATGGTCAGCAGCATCCCTGGCCCCCACTCGTGAGAGCCCAGTAGCCAGATCCTAAGGGGTCACACCCCAAACTCTCCCCAGAGACAGCCCAGTGGAGAGGGAGAGGGATTTGCAAAAACAACGCCCCCTCCCCTGCCCCTAAGGACCACTAGTGTCCGTGAGAAAAACACGGAGCAGTAATTAGGGGCCCGGCCGGTGTGGCTAAGTGGGTAGACCGTCGGCCTGCAGACTGAAGGGTCCCGGGTTCGATTCCCGGTCAGGGCACAGGCCCGGGTGGCGGGGTCCATCCCCAGTGGGGGGCGTGCAGGACGCAGCCTATCCATGGTTCTCTCTCATCCTGGATGTTTCTCTCTCTCCCTCCCTCTTCCTCTCCCTTCCTTTCTGAAATCAATAAAAATGTATTTTAAAAAAATAATATACCCTAACACTGCATGTCAACAAAGGGAAAATATAGGCCATGCGAGGGTTTGCCAGCAGCCTCGCTATCTGATCTCTTTTCATTTTCTGAAGCCGCGAAAGGCACACAGACCCCGACACATCCCCCCCCAACCCTCCCCAGGGAAGAGCCGATGAGAAACGCAACGGATCCGGGCGTTTGCTATCTCTCGCCTCCTCTGTGATTCTTCTGCTAACAGACAAGCCAGTCACATTACCGAAGAGGTAAGTGCTGCCCGGCCAGTGTGGCTCAGTGGTTGTGCCTTGACCTAGGAACCAGGAGGTCAGGGTTTGAGTCCCGCTCAGGGCACAGGCCCCAGGTTGCGGGCTCGATCCCCAGTGGGGGGCGTGCAGGAGGCAGCCGATCCGTGATTCTCTCTCATCGTGGATGTTTCTCTCTCTCTCTCTCTCTCTCCCTCTCTGACATCCATACAAATATATGTTTTAAAAAGAAGTGTAAAGAGAGTCGTGGTTCTGCTCTAGGCATTTGGGGGAACAGTCACCAGAAAAGGGGGAAATGGCCGGGAACCTCGCTCCTGGCCCGGCCTGGCTCACCTCCATCCTGAAGGGGGAAGACGGGGCCTGGGAATGTTCCGGAGTCGAGGGCGACACCAGAAATTTCCCCGGCGAGGCCTCGCCATCGCCGCCTCCCACCCGGGACGCCTGTGTCCTGCCCTCACGCTCCGTGTAACCCAAACAGACCAGGAGGTCCCGGGCCTGGGCCGGGGCAGCGACCGCATCGCCGGACGTATAAACACACAGAGGGGTTAGCAGGTGCCACGGGTACATATTATAGGCCCCGGGGTGGACGCCCCTGCTCCCTGTCAGCCCCCCCACCCCCGACCACCCCGACCCCCCAGCCAATATTCAAGTAAGAGCTTGCCAGCCCCGGCCGGTGTGGCTCAGTGGATAGAGCATTGG